GTGAAAAACGAACATCAGAAAGAATATTTTATTTATTTTTGTCTCCACAACTACGTTTTTGTGAAATAAGAAACAATTTGATTTACGGAAACGTATGATTTAGTTAACGAGATGACATTTGATTATGGAAATTATCTGACTATTTATATATTGTTATTAAATAATGGACACAATAAACAAAGTTTTGTTCGTATTAATTGATACGACAGCTTGCCATAAAATGCGTTAATGTCCACGATTCGATATATCACATAGTACAGAATAAATTCAACTTACGCGTTAAAAACAGGATAAAATAATTAAATTATAAATATAATCTTTAGCAAACGATATATGTTATCTAAATTATTTCAAAATTTTGATAAATACAAATTGTCAAATTCGTCGGAAATTATATTATATTATATCTATAATTTTATACATGTGGTTTTAATTACAAATTTAAAAATATTGAAAAAACTTAACTTACTTAAACTTAGAATGAACTCAAATAATACATAATATAATAAGAAAGAGATGTTTATAGTGCAAAATAAATCAAAATAAAATAAATTTTTGTTTAAATAACGTCTTATTTTCGAAAAAAAATTGTGAAATTAATTAATAAACAATTTAAAAAAAGTTATTGTACATTTGGGAAATTAAAAAAACAGAATATATTAAAAGCAATTCATTCTAATTTAATTCATAGAAAATAATTTTGTATAAAACAAAATGTACAATACTTTCAACAATAATTCCTCAAAATAAGAAGTAAATATGTAAAAAAAATTATTTTTTGTCGTATTTCAAAGTTTATGTACTCTAGAAGATATATTTTAATGAATTTCGCGAAATTTTCAAATTCAAATATTTTGTAATTATTTAGTTATCTATAATTATTTTTAATTTTAGTCAAATATATATGTATCAATTAATACAAGGATATTGCGGACATGTATCGCGTTTTACATTTATATAGTAAGAATCTGTAAGCTTATCTTTTTATTTTCGAAAACAAATATAAGAGAAATTCTTTTAAATTAAAATATAAATATATAAAAATATTTATATATTTATATTTACAAATTATTGATAAAAAAATATTAATCATATGTTTATTTTTCTCTTATCTTTGAAAGATGTTATTGTGTTTCTTTGAAAAGTAACAAATTATTAAAAAAAAGAAATATTATGAACAAGTGAAGAATATTGACTAGAAAGACTTTTTAGAGAAAATGTTTAGTTTAGGGATTAGTAAGAGAATGAAGCGGCCAGTACAATGTTAGCATAAATTTTGGGATACACAGACATAATCTTGAATGAGTTAAATTGAGGCGGATTGTGGGGGTTAGCTTGATGGCATGAATACGAAAAAGGATTGTTCTCTCATATGTGCATGAAACTTCGAAGCGACGGTGTCGAGAGAAGACGGTAATCCTTTCGACCGACATTTTCACGTCCTCGACGTATCGAGCAATCGCGACGCGATGACGACAAAAGATTTTTAAAAGATCTTTTAAGAGAAAATTCGCTCTACTTATAATCGCGTGCAAATCACTATCCTTACATCTCTTTTCTTTATTTTTTCTCCTTTAAAAATCGATATTGACAATGCGTTATTTTCAACAATTATGCGATTCTGATAAACTAAAGCAATTAGTGTTTAGACTTTTACGAATTTTCTTCAAGTTTCTGGATGAATCAAAAGTTTGCCGCTTTAAAATGAACATTTGCTTTGCTTACAATATTTTGCGTGCATATTGCAATTTCTGTACTCACCTTCTTCAATATTCTTATTTTTACGATATATTCTTACACGAGATTTCCACTGCCGTTTTCCATTTATATACGAAAGAATACTTCACGCCAGACTCGATCGCACATCTTCTGTGTAAAATATCAAGTATGTACATAAAGAAATAAAAACTTGAATACGATTCGTGTGTCTTCGAAGACAGTGACCTTTAAAGATTCATGTTTTAAGGATTTATATTTTTGTAAAACTACAGATAAAAATATTCAATTTTTATTTTTATATATCTATTATTTGTATTCAATACACAGATATTTTTTCAAATTTTTTAACTGTATAATAACACGGATAATACCCGTAAACTTAATATTAACTTTTTTGAAAATAATAATTGTGGAAGCTCTATATATGTGTGTGTGTGTGTGTGTGTGTGTGTGTGTGTGTGTGTGTGTGTGTGTGTGTGTGTGTGTGTGTGTGTGTGTGTGTGTGTGTGTGTGTGTGTGTGTGTGTGTGTGTGTGTGCAATATATCAAATTTATTTTTAAATAAAATATTAAATTCCGCGAAAAAATCTAAATATTTTTAATATTTTCTTGAAAATGTTAAAAAAAATTTGTTTATTCTGCGTTTTTGTAATTGTTCTAACAAATAAAATATTCTTTTTTATATTACAATACTTATTTTAAAGCTAATTTGTAATTAACTTGCTACAAATTAAATAATAGTAAAACAAAAAGAATTTTAATGTATGTAAAACATTGCTACGTTAATAATCTATCTAATTAACTTCGAGTTTTTCATTTTTTTGATAATTGGATATGACAGAAATTTCATGCGTAATCTTTCACACAATTGGTTGAACACATCGCAACGAGAGCGTGTCACTGTTAATGCAATATTTACGAAACTGCCTGTTCCTATTAGAGAGATGAACTGTTATAATTAGTTCATCCTTCATGTTGGCGCGTATATGGATCGGAAATACCTGCGGAAGTACGATCGCCATTGCGTTTCAGAAACTATTGCATTTATTACGGCAGCATTCTAATTAAATGCTAAAATATAAATTTATTCTAATGTTAATTAACTTTGACTTTAATTTAATTAATTCCTTGTTTCGTGATCAAAGCAATATTTGAAAAAAATAGAATAAGAAAGAAGAGAATTTATTCATGTACACAATATCCTTAGGGAATTCCATTAGGGATTTATACAATATAAATAAATCAATAACAAAGTATAATATAGTGTAATATAGTGTAGCGCAATATTTAATAATGTATACAATAAGTAAATTTGACAAGATGTTCAGAATAATGTTATTGAATAAATTAATAATAAATAGTGTTTATATGAAATAATTAAATGTTTTGATATAACAATTATCAATAATCAAATGTAATTTAAACAAACATAAAAACATATAACGTTAATTAATTGTAGAAAGATAAAAAAATCAGAAGTGTTTCTTAAAAAGAAATGATTAATAATATTCTTTTTATTAATATTCTCAATATAATTTTTAATATTAATTAAAAAAAAATTAATTAGTTGTTTAAAATATTAATAATAATTTCAATATTTCCTTTAGTATCAATTAAAAGACTCATTAGCTATTTGTTTAAAGATTTATTTTAAAAATTAAAATAATCTTATCAATTTATGAATTATGTTTTAAATAGATATAAAACCTCATTTTTCTAAACGTAAATTCTTTTCTATCAACAAATAAGATTTATCAATTTAAAATAAGTAATATGAATGTTAAATATTGAATAGATTAAGAATTAAACTTTTTTAAAACTAAAAGATATTCGCGTATTATAAACTCCGCAATCAAGTGCTTGCATTAATGGAATTTCCCAGAATGCTAATACTGGAATCAGACTGGTGAAGAATTCAAACTATTCAAATAACGAAGTTGGGAAACTGACAATAACTGGCATTCATAACAACTCTCCTGCGACTGTATTTTACGCTGGCTATTACAATTGTCGTCGGGAGAGGTTGCCATCATCTACAAAGCCGTCGAAAACATCTGTTAGATAAATGAATGATCTCTTCATTTAAGCAGAACTACTGTTATACAAAATAGTAATCCGAGTGTAGGGATCAGATAAGGTAAGATAAGAAAAGATTTAATAAAAAATATTACTAATACACTTAATTAAAATTTTAAATGTAATTAAAAATAATAAAAAGGTAATTAATAAACTAGTAATTAATTAATAACTTAACTATTTACAATTATTTAAAAAACCTCTTTAAATTATTTCAAAAAATGCAAATAATAAATTAAATATCTTTTAATCGATCATTCATTTTTATTAATTTATTAATTTAATGAATAAGATTAGAAACAAAATCTATTAAATATAGAATTGCAATTACACAGTTTATAATGCTTTAAATAGTCTAAATATTCGTAATAAGAAATTACTAATAAATATAATTATATATTTATTAGCAATATAATACATCTTTCAATTATATGAAAGACAGAATACCGCAAAAACACATTTTACAAAATTTTCGGAAAATGTACAAGTATACAGGTATACAAAAAAATAAGCGAAACTTCGATGTAAACCACCAGTCAAATAAAACAATAAATTGTACTCTTCATATTTGTAAATTTGGTAAATAGAGTAGCAATATACACAAATTCAATTCTTATATACATAATTTGTCTAACTTGGCGCAAGTATAATTATTCTATTCGATAATTAAAACCCATTTTACTATTAAAAGTGTAATAAACTTTGCATCTTAAAAATTTACGAGAAATGATTACTATTGTCTCTTTCTATGGAAAATAACTATTTTAATAATTTGGTCAAATCAAAATCTTTATTTCAAACTCAGGTCTGAAATTGATCTTAAACTCTGAGTCACAAATCAATCCATTCAAGAGCAAGTTATCTACATATATTGGAAGTCACATCTGCCTAAGTACTTTCTGAAAATCAACATCATTTTCCAAAACTAAACTATCACTCTTAGATACTTTTCTAGTCAAAGCCTCAGAATTGTCAGACTTTCTCTTTATATTGCATTCATAAGACATTCGTGAAAAATACTTCCGAGTTATAATCGCCCGCGGATTAATTATCAATAAAAGTCTTCTGTATGATTTTAATATGGGTACTTTTGTTTATAAAACCCATAAAAATGTATCCAAATTCTGTTGGATAAGCTTATATTAAAAATGCCAATTTCGACTTGAACTAGGATATACATTAAATAGGTTTTTAAAGAATCTCTTATAATTAGTCCAATTATTTATTTACTTATTTTTTTGTACAATACTTTTGAAACTAACGCACAACGCGAGGACCGACTATGGGTTCGCAGATTCAATTAAACCTGCGGCTATATGTCGGTGAAAACCAGCGATAGTGTGTCAAACGCACTACTAGCATTTGCCACATGAGAGCCATTGAATGACTCGTGGTAATGCTGTATTAATAATAGATACTGTTGGTTTCTCTACTTTAGGGCATTGAGCCCTTCGGGATACTGAATCACTCCATTATTTCAAGATCAATCATTGACAAAAAGTCATGAATTATCAATATACTCCAAAAATGAGCACTAATTGTCATTGTCGCGAAATATTCAATGTACAGAATAAATGTCATGTATTTGGTTCATTAAATTGATTATTAATAAGTAGCTTATGTACAACACTTCTAGCTGAATCACTCGATCCGATTATCATGATTACATTGTGTTCTGAAAATAGAAGCAAAATTATATTGTACAAATGAAAAGACTAAAGCATACTAAGCGAGAAAAGTTAAATCAAAACATTATTATAAAAATTGTCTAAAGACAACACAAAACGATAATTTATATTAGTAATTCCCATTTTTATATTTACATGAGAATAAATCACGCAAAATAAATATTTCATATACATATCATATACATGAGAATAAATCACGCAAAATAAATATTTTAAGATAAATATTAAACGAAATATGTGCACATATTAGATAAAGCAGTATTACTTTGTCAATTTCAATTTGAACAAAACAATGAAAATTTGAAGAAAAATAATGTGCATTTGCAATGGCATATTTACAATTATATTACACAAAAAATGATTGCTTCTTGAAAGCGTAAGTATGATCTTCAAATGTTGAATATAATTATTATTTAGGTACATAAATGTCATCACTGGCCTGTAGATGAAAAAGTCTCGCTCTAGCCTATTAAGTAAGTTGTTCATAACTTATATTACTCAACTCGGCGTTCGCTTATTCCGTTTTATTTTCTATATTATTTCGTATTATAAAATTATGTTATATCAACGAAAAGTTTAAAGTGCGAAAAGCATAAAAAAATTAGCCTCTACAAAAATCACGAAACGTTAAATTATAATTTCTGTTTCGTGTCACTTTGATTTCTTACTTGTAATATAAATCGCGCAATATTTTTTTAAAATAAAAGCAACACTTACAAATAAGATAATTGTGAAAGTTATTCAATCATATTGGTTAATAATTGTTCACAGAATAATCGCATTTTAAGAAATGTTACGTACACATGCTTGCGTCGCTATCAGCTCATTCGAATATTGCCGTGCGAATGATAATCGACAAACTTCGATATACAACAATGTGTTATACGCAAAAACAAAAATAAACACTATGCTCCATCGATTTGTTTTCAATCCGAACATTTAACGTTTTTTTAAAATAACTTCACGTTCAATATTACAATTTCGATATGGACTGATATTGGACTGATATAAAAATTAAACATTTGTTTTAATTTATTTAAAGAATAAAATATTTTATTTAAAGAATAAGTTTAATTTTCTAATAAATATATCTTTTTTTATTATTTATATTATTTTAGTATTTATTTTATTTTAATTTTATTTATTTTATTTTAGTTATTTATTTTATTTTAGTAAAGAAAATAATTATCTAAATTAATCTATTACTTTGTGCCAGATTCCATTTGAAATATGTCTCTGCTTAAATCAGTATTAATCCTCTCGATATGCGTATGTCAATAATGGCAAGAGCTAGTTAAACGGACAGGATGATAATTGCTTATCATAAATTATAAAGAGTGATTTCGCGTTTCGAGAGACGGTAACGCTACGACACACAAAACCGTTCTGTTGCCTGCCGGCTCGTTTTTGTAGAGAACAGCATTACTATATACAATAAAGAACGCGTCATACGTCAAACAATAACAAAACTAAACGCGCGTGTCCAACCGAATTGTCATTCGAAATATGTATGTATTTTATACGTAGGTGTTATATATAAGATAGCGTACGAATATTCTATTATTCACGTCTCTAATTAATTAATAAACGATCGAACGTTTGTTACTTTAATAATTTAATCTGATAATTCGTTTATTACTCTGTATTTTCAATCATATAATAACAAATTATTAAATTTATATTACTTATGTTATATTATAAGAAAATAAATTTATACTTTTATCTAATCTGAATAGATAAATAAAATTGATAATTTATTATAATTACAAATCATTAGAATCTTATAATTGTACAAAAAAAATATAATTATATTTTGTTAAAGAATGTTAATAATTACTTATAAATATAGTATTAAAATTTAAAATCTCTGTTTATAATTATTGATTCTTTTATCAATAAATAGTTAAAATAAATCACAAAATAGCTATATGACTAACTATCATTCATCATAAATGTTAACAAATCATTAATCATAATTAGTCAATTATCCGAATTAGTCAATTATCCGACATACAGCGAGTAATATACGCGAATAATATACGTAATTGATAAAATGGTCGTCTTATGTACGTACGCAATATTTTATATTTTGTTAAAACAAATGCAGTTATTTCATTATAAATATTCAAAATATTTAATATTATATAAAAAAATTATGAAAAGGCCTATTTTTATTATGCTTGAGAAAAGCACAATAGATATTATTACTTATAGGTGCTTTTGAGGTAAATAATTTGATGATGCTAATTAAAATTATGTCATATAACAGGAACATATAAAAAATTAAATTTAAATCGCGAAAACACATGGAGTCATAGTCATTCTCAAGAACTTTTCTTTGTACTGATTTGTATTTTGTTTTCTAATTTGATTTTAATCAGTTTTATCATATAGCATACTAAAATTTATTTCAAAAGAATAAAATTTATACCTTATGTAATTAAATAAGTATTTATCTAAATTAATTTATTATTATTATTGATTATTATTTATATTAAATTTTGTGTTTTAAAAGCTATATAAACTTATGTAATTTTGATTATTTATTTAAAAAATTAAATATTTATAAAAATTATTTATAAAAATTTAAGCTTGTTACTAAAGTTATTTTAAAAACTAAAATAATTAGTTGATTTTGTAAAATAAATAAATGTGCATATAAAAACTCTTGCCTTCAGAGATATATAATTTATTATTTTCAATTATTAAACAAAGTTTATTGTTCAAAAAATAAGTAATATATCATTTAAGCTTTAAGAGTTTTTGTTTTTTTAAAAATATCCATATTAAAGAAATTTTCTAAAATATTAATCTACTAAAATCAGACGTTTGCAAAAGAATCTAAACTATTCAAATAATAAAAAAACCTGATTAGGTAGTAATTAGTATTGATAACGAGTTTTTCACACTTGTATTATGTACTAGCTATTAAGATTGTCGTCGAGAGAAATCATCATTTATACTTTTTATATTTTTTAACTGACGGACACATCTGTTAGATGAATGACGCACATTTTCTCGGTTCATTTAATATTAATTAGAATTAATCTTGTACAAAGCAGATCGCACAAAGTAAAATAGATAAAAAAATAACTAAAAAGCGATCAATTTAGTTAGAAATTATACGTAACTAAGTATAATTAAACTTTATATTGATTCTAAAAAAAACTTTTCCAGTTATTCTAAAACTGAGAATTGCTAGGAAATCGCGTTGTATGCTTTTAATAGTTTGGAAATTGAACATTCGTCTTTATCCGTTTATCGAAAATCTCTTTGACCTCACGTTCACTGACCGACAAACGAAATTTTTTGGACTTGCGAAACGCATGCATGGTGAATTCGTTGTGAATGCGATGTAAATAGAATAGAAATCCACGGAAGAATGTTGCATTGAGAAAAATGTTGCTCTTTTCAATATATATATGGACTGCGCTCAGCTTTGATTTTTATCGTGATGGATAAGAATATTGTATATTTTTACATGTTTTGATATTTAATTGATTTTAATTTTATATCTAATTTAATGTGTAAATAAACCGAACTCTCTTAATTCCTAATAATTTTATGATGTGATGTTAAGTAGCAAAATTTACATTATAAACTTTATTTGCATATGACAACTCTTGACGATTATACGGCATCACGGCATGTGGCATCTATAAAAGCGATTAACATTCAATTTTATTATTGAAATGTTAGTAGTAATTTGTTTAATTATGTTGTCAAGCTGTTTATAACTGTACTTCATCTACAAAGTATTTCTCAAAAACAACATTATGGCAAAAATATAGTAAGCCGTTACGAGTATTATGAAGAGTAACATCGCGATAACTAACAGCCGTTGCTTATAGCATTCAGAGAAGCTAGGTCGTTTTTCCTGCAAAATCCTTTAATAATGTTTCTAAATAAACTCATTATGGGGTTTCATTAAGGTGATGAAACTGAGATCTCTCTACGCATATTGCTTTCAATTAAAAGATAACACTCAACAATGTATTTAAATCAAGAAATACAATTAAACATGCGTTGAAAATGGAATTATTTATTATATATCATTTTTATTTCGCTAAAAAGTTGTTAAAAATACAAAAAATATTATTTATAAATTATTCATTTTATCATCTTACTGGTTACGCCATTACATTTGCAGTTTAAATATTTAAATTCACAAATCGTAAAGCAATATTATTTTGTACTATGGCATCTGAATGTTACATTTCAGTGAGCTCTACAATATTTCTCTTTCGTCTATTTTCTTTTTCGGGTAAAATTTTATTTCGTCGGATAAAATTCCGTAGAGGCTTCCAGCTTGTCATTACGTCGAGCTTGGACGTCATCAGTGTTTTCTTTTTCTTCATTTCTCTCGCGTTCACTTTTTTTCCGTCCATCACTATTTTCGCGATCCGAAAGCGTCTATTAAAAATGTTTGTTATGATAAACGTGACGGACCTGCTTTTAAGGCTAATTAATTAATGCGCAAATAATGTGAGTACAGGAAACTAATTTCATTAACATTCCGTGACGAAACTGCCGATGTTTGCGATACCGCGAAAGTTTAATTTATACTTACACTAAGCTCACTTTTCCGATCAAATAATATGTCAAAAGAAAATATTTAATGAAGAAATATGTGCGCCATATTTCGAAAAGTATTAAAGCATTTTAAATAAAAAATTTTAGATATATTATCGTTAAGTTGATTCATATAATAACCATCTACATAATAGAGTGTATTATTTTAGTCAAGAAAAATAGAGTTTACGTTTTCTTAACACTGTTCGCAGTCAAATAAATTATTCATTTGTTTTTGTACAAGCTTATTCACTTAGTCGAGATCCAATTTTACATGTAATTAAATTTGTTAACTAGAATATAACGAGTTCAAATAAATATCTTGTATTAATTTAAAAAAAAATAATTATTAGTTGCAAGTACGTAGTTCTCTTGAGATATCTAAGAAAATTAATTGAAAGGTAACGTTTCCTCGGTGTTCTTCTCTTGTAGAAGAAATTTCACGAGCTGGGATACAGCGTGATGTAATAAATCGCAGTACGCACAATGCAAAAGGGAAACATCGACTTCAATCGATGCTATCTCCGTATACATGTACAATATATATATATATATCCGTTGACGATATACCGAATTCTTCCGCGCAGTCAATATTGATCAATACAGCTCACAGTGTGCACTTACGATGAAGCAGAGAAAAATGCCGGAAATTCGTATACGCCTTCCGCCGGTCCGTTGGTCGCATGGTTAACATGATCAGAAAGGAAGGCAAGGACGAAGGATCGTGGTATGGGCTCTAGAGACGAAGAGAAGCGCGTATACGGTGCATATTGGAAATCGATGCGTACACTCGCCTGTTGCCACATTGCATACGCATTTGTCCGATTTCATGAATGTATGTATTGCATGTCGCTTCTTTCTATCGAGCATGACCTACGCACGATATTTTGCGATGATTTATCATCGGCATTCGTTGCAAAGACATTTCATTAATCATTTCATAATGTTCCGATGCTTATTTCTTCCATTATGAAACATTTTTTAAAAAGTTCGTGTCACAATTATGTAAGAAACTTGGATTAAATGTCAATCTTTTAAATTATATTTGTCGGAACGTTCTTTTTTGCAGCAGCAAAAACTCGAAATAATAGAAAACAGAATATGAAAAATGTGTGATATTTATTTCGCGTTAATAATCATAAAAATAACAAGAGTTAGGAAAAACTAATAATAAAAAATTTATTATAAGCTTTAATATTTGTTAAACATAAGAATATGTTTGATAAAAAATAATATTTATATTTATAGATTTCAATTGAGATTACAAGATCTTATTGTAACTGATACTTCTTTATCGCTACTTGCACAATTGTCTTGCTTATTAACTGGGTTACTAGGTTAATTACCGGATGCATTTCTGACGCATTTCTAAACGTAATGACCTAGTTGAGAAGCTGGTCAAAGAACGGCTGTTCTTATTAATTAATGCTATTAAGACACATATTTTTTAATCCTGAAATATCACTTCGCTTCGAAGAAACGCTAATAAACTAGATAACAAAATATACATTGCAATGCAAAAGAAATCTTTATGAATTTCATTGTATTTTATTATTATTTTCCAAAAATCATATTTAAGAATTTTTAACTTACAGAAATTAAACATGATAAAACAAAAAAGTGATACTGTGATGAAGCAATATTATTTTTTAACTTACAAAAAATAAAAACATACGCAAAAAAAGGAAAAATAAATAGAATTTCTTTGCAAGAAAATATTATTTTTAGATTTAACTGCTGATAGCGTGATTATTATTTTTTTTGCGTCAAGTATAAATTGCTTTATATATATTTTACAAAATATATATTTTACAAATAATAACTATGTTCAATATTTTTACGTAAAGAAAATAACACAGGAGAGATCATGGATAATACAATAAGTTTTTAAACAAGTTTAAGAAAAGTATTAAGATTATTGACTTTTCTAATTTTATTGTGTTATGGATGGTATCTTTTAAACGATGATTAAATTTACTCATTTATGCTGAGACTGTAAATATCAAAGTTTAACAATAAAAAAATAATAATTTTATAAACTTATTTTGTAGATCTTTTTTTAGCAATAATGACTTTGATTTTCATTTCATATTATTAAATAGAATTTTTGAATCGTTTTGAAATTTCTTTGATTTTTCCAGTTTCTTTACATAATCAAATTTCCTCGTTTTTTTTTTAAAGGCAAGCTTATGTCAATACGTAATTAAAAGAAATGACAGAAAAAAATCTATTTTTGAAAATTGGCTGCAAATCGAATTGATTTTTAGAATCGATGCATCGATTGCAAAAAGAATCAATCTGCGTTCAGCAGAAAAACAGCTTTGCAACTGTAAAATCCTTTAATATTATATATCCCAAATAAGAAGGGAGGTGTGCGTCACGGCGGGGCCCGACCACGAACCAGTCGTGAAAACTCGTAATTATTTTTGACGAAAAAATATCACCTCAGCCAGGAATCGAACCTGGATCTCCTGCTTACCGGGCAGGCATCTTATCCTTTCGACTACCGAGGCATGTGATGATATTTATCGCAAATAACGTGTTTAGAATAACACGTCAACAATACAATGATACATATATATATATACATTACAATATACATATATACATGTATTCTTTCGAATCCCCACGACCGGTACTCCAGAGCGATGTTGGTCTCTCACTCGATGGATGCAGGTCGGACTGCAGCGGCGACACCCTCCAACGCCATTGGCAAATATACAAATAATCCTCCTGGAGCACGACAGGAGAGATTGCATCAAGCATGGCTCGAGCCCCTTAACTTATTAGTTTATACATTTAGATCCATGAAGAACTAATGGCAAAAATCAATCATCTCAAAGATTTTTACAACAGTTGCAAAGATGCTTTCTCTGCTGAAGCCATTGAATCATTTTGCAATCGATGCATCAATTCTATAATCAATTCGATTCAATTCGATCTAAAAGAATCGATTTTTAGAATCGATTCTTTAAAATCTTCGCATTACTAATTTGTGGAGTGAAGATAGAGAGAGTGCATGTGTGAAAAGTATTCATATCCCTACTTTTTTTTAGCGAATGAGAGAGAACGCAGGGGTAACAACAGACTGTACCTTTTTCTACGTTCCTTCTACCCCTACTCCTCAAACTCTCAGTCTACACTACGGAGTGAACACGTGAGTTATTTGTAACCAAGCATCATTTCTATCACGTTGACTTTCGGGAAGGATAGTGCATTTCAGAAGCTAATTTCTTTATCTAAAAAAGAACTTTGTGGAGAGAAGATGAATCCAGGATATATATATCCACCGGTATATAAATTTTTTTACAATATTTCTTGCAATTTAAGACTAAAAAAATAAGGCCGAACTCCATGTGTCGACTATTACGGTATCGTAAAACGTGTTAATTCTTTTACTCAACGGATATTTTTATTAAAATAACATTTTTATAAGTAAATTTTTATTTACGTTTTTATTCTTAGTAGTGAAACTTTCGATTTATTATTTCTAAAAATAAAAATAATACTGTTTTATAAATTATTATTATTATATGCAATGTATCATTTTATTCATAATGTTTATTTTGATTAAAATAATATTGGCTTTTTAATAGGAGTGTATACTTGGTATTTTCTTATATTTTACTTTGAAAAGAATATTTTTTAAACATTACATTGATATAAGCCGAGTACATGTTACAACAGCAAGTACCATGCCGGTTTCTCGGCAAGCAAGTACCATGCCGGTTTCTCGGCAAGTAGGATCTTGGTTTAAGTAAATACTCTCTAAATACTTTTATTATAAAATAAATTAAAATAATATTTTTTTATTTATTACGATTATTAATAGAAATAATAGATCCATCTAGTACACAATGTAATACTTTTGAGATTCTGAATATCATTTCCGTTGAATTGACCGGGATGCTGAATTGATATAATACCGGCACCGCATGTAAAATGTTCTCCGATATTCTCCGACTCGAGCACCATCTAGCGATGATCCTGTTCATTTTCAGCACGTTTTACCATATCAGCCCGCGCATTTTCCGCCGCCTTTCGTGAATCTCCGTTCCGAATCGGCGGAAGGTCGCGTCGTGGCGATTGTTGACAGCCAACGCAGGGTAGGCTTTGATACAGCTGTGCGCGACACGGCTGCAACGTTTTCCCCATTGTCAGCGGCACTGGATCCTCGTGCGTCGTTCGCGTCCCGACGCAGCCACGTCCAGGCTGCGTGTCCCGGCCATCGTCACCCATCGCGTCGACAGATCGAGCCGCATCGGCGTCGAGAGACTGGGAGGGACACGGAACTAGGAAAAATGAGGTACAGTATCTGGCATCTCTAACGTCTACCGTGCAGACGCGGCGTGCTCTCGCGTGCCTCGCACTTCCTCGCGCACCGCGTTTCCTCGGTCACGTTGTCAGCGTGTGAAAGCGAAGCGTGATAGCGCTTATCCCGCGTGAAACGAGAGCGACGGTGCGACGGCGACACGGCGTTCGCGGGCGGAAACGCGGGAGAGCGTATTCGCGTTTATCAGCCGCCATCTTTCCCGCGCCGACGTTTTTGCTCACCCCCAAACTGTTGGTTCGCGCCTGGGACACTTGATTCTACAATTCTTAGAGAATTCAAGAAATTACGAGAGATTTTCTTCGTCGGATAATGTCTCATCTCTCACTGTCTTTGATGTGAAATTTGAACGTGTAAATTTTTTAACACTCGTGTATGTTACGTGCACGTGTGTATGTGTGCTATATACGCCATGTATTTATATGATGCGCGTGTATATGTTTTATGCACATACACATATCTAAAATAACATGCATGAATGTATACAGGCGCGCACCACGATTGTCGCGCGTGAGAATCGTGTCACACCTAATTGTTAGTGGATTGTATGTGTCAACGTCAAGCACATCTGTATGACGATTTAAAA